GGCACATCACGATGACGCGAGTAGACAGGTCCACCTGAGGCCGAACCGTCGACGGAAGCTAGGGGTGACGCCGGCCTCGGAGAGACACAACAGCACCTGCCGCAGGCGTTGGTCATGTTCCTTTTTCGTTCTGCCGAAGACTAGGATGTCGTCGACCATGTTGACCAATCCGTCTAGGACTTCCAAGATCCACGCCACCTGTCGCTGGAAAAACTCAGGGGCCGACGTGATGCCAAATGGGAGTCGGCAAAAGCAATAACGCCCATACGGCGTAATGAACATCGTAAGCTCTTGAGAGTCCTTGGAAAGCTTGACCTGATGGAAGCTTGAGGTAACTTTGAGCTTCGAGAAGACTGCCGCATCGCCCAGAAGTCCCAGGACTTGATCGACGGTGGGGAGCACATGACGTTCTCTCGGGACAACTTGATTTAATTTTGTAAAGTCGATACAGACACGGTAACCTCCCGACGACTTTGGAACCATGAACAGTCCAGCGTCCCGAGGTGTGGGGTTGGTGACACGCCGAATGGCTCCGTCTTGCTCCAGTTTGGCCAGTTCTGTTTGCACCACCTCGCGCAGGGGTATCGGTATGCGGCATGGAACACTAAGTGAAAACGGAACCGCATCCGGGCGTAGCCGAATCTTGTACTCCTCCTTGAGCGTGCCGAGACCTCTGAAAAGTCCCTGCGGTGCCGGCACTTTCATGTCGTCCAAGAACTTTACCACACCCAGAGCCTGGATGGCTGGGAACCCGAGCAGGGGCATAGAGAGGGACTTGATCACGTACAGACGCTGATGACCGGTCTTGCCTCGCCACAGGAGGGTAGCCATGAAGTACCCAATGACTTTTAGCGACTGGTCTCCTGGTGCTGTCAGCAGGTCGTCGACCTTGTCCAGATGATGAGGTAAGTTCGGGAAGGCTTCCGAAACAGCAGACGCCTCCGCGCCGGAATCTACCTTGAATATCGCCGTGTAGTTGTCGACATTGACCTCAACGTACTTGGCCTTGGCCTTCTCAGTCTCGAGGATTGCGTGGAGCGGTAAGGAACGCCACCTTGCTCTGCTTTCGTTTCCGAGCGCAACAGACGTCCGCGAAGTGGCCCTTCTTCTTGCAATAATTGCACAGAGACTGCCGAGCAGGACAGTCTGAGCGTGTGTGGGGGGCCCGACTGCAGTAGCTGCAGGAACCTGGGTCGTTATCGCCAAGTGAAGACACTGCTGATGCGTCGTCTGACCGTTTTGTTGTCTTGCGTTGGTGCGTCGGACCATGACAAGACTTGGTGGCGTCAACGTTGACGGTGACCTGGACACTCTCGACTCCCGCGAGCAGTTTTTTTCTTTTTCGGCGTCTTCGATCTGCCTCACCTGCGTCCACGCGTCCTTGAGGCTGAGCTTGGCTTTCCAGCAGAGCTGGCCGGACAGGCGTTCGTCGCAAAGACCAACAACGAACCGGTCGCGAACCAGGCGTTCTTCGACTTTGGGGGACGGGTAGTTGCACCACTTGACAAGCTTGCAGAGCTCGGCGTAGTAACTGTCGACGCTCTCTCCCGGCTGCTGAACCCGCTCGTGGAACCTCGAGGACTCTTACACCTCGTTGACGGGGTACAGGAAGTGTTCCGAGAAGCGCTTGACCACCGTGTTGTAGTTGTTCAGGGAGGCGGCGTTCAAGCCGAACATGTCGAGAAGGACCCGAGCCTCGGGGCCCATGCAGTAGAGAAGTGTCCGCACCTGAATGTCCGGTGGTGCTTGGCGAAGTACGGAGGCATAAGCGTACTCCTCGAGTTGCGTAAACCGGGTAGGCCAAGAACCGGTGTTGTCGAAGTCGAAACCAGCAGGCTGACGTACGGAGCCGCCCACCCACGCGGGCAGTGTTTGCAACCCGATTACCAAAAGTGTCCAAACTTGGCACTAGAACCGCCCACAACAGACACTACAATTTTATGATCAACACTCAGTCTTTCCGATATTTAAAAAAAAAGTCTGTCAGGCGTGGCACCATAACGTTCACCCAGAGTGCCTCATCAAAGGGCACCCGTGTGACCCAGCAGTCTTTCGCCCAGTCAACAACAAGGTCACACCACTCCAGTCCTGTGAGCGCAAGTTGTCCTGTCACCTGGTAGTAGTGCTTGTGCTTTTTGTCGACACTCTTGTCCGCATGGATAAACTCCACAAACCCTCTGCTCATCACCTCCTCGAAGGTCGTCAGGTTCGCATCTATCGCCCGTGACACGGTCTTCACTTCGACTAGTCCGTACTCCTGTATATCTTCGTCCCAGACCAGCCCGTCTGGTGATGCCCCCAGCATGGGAAGGCCAGGGTTGATGCAAAGGCCAACACTGAAGACTTGGACCTTTTGCTTGGCCTTGTAGCGCTTCAGAGCAGCCGCCTCATTCTGAAGTCCCGCCCTCATGTGACGTGTCGTGCCATGTCCGCCCGAGAAAATCGTCCTGAGAAACTTTTCGTTCACGGGTGCTTGTCGTTTGACGATGTCTCCGAACTGTGATGCCGTGATCCTTTTCTCACGTTCCGTGTGCCACAGCATACTTCTGCTTTGGCCACGTGTCTGTTCCTCCAGGTGCTGAGCTTGTGTAAGAGTCAGGGTGCATGGATCGCTTGGTGGCATCTGGTGATTCCAGCACTCTTTTATGGGCAAGCTGATCCGTGCTGCAGAGGCCCCATCATCCGTGTTCGAGTGCTCCTGAACCTTCCTTGGCAAGGGTGTGAAGGCAGCTTCTTCCATCACGTCCGCAAACATTGGGAATATTCCCTTCTCAATGAAATCTGTATGCAGCCTCTTGACGGTTGCCTGCGCCACGTCCACATGCACTTCCGTGGTTTTTCTCGCACTCTTCGCCTTGTTGCTAGAGTCGTGCTTGACGAATTCTAGTTCGTTGAACGACACCGTACTTGCACCTCTCTTTGAAGATGGGCCCCACTGCCTTGCTCCCTCAGTGCAGGCCAGAGCATCCGGGATGTAGGACCTTCCCTCCCTTATCAGGTCTAGCATGTGCCAAAGCAGTGCTGCCACATGCTTGCACACACCGCCTTGTCCAGCCTTGCAGGAACAGGAAGCCTTGCTGACCTGCCCATCTTGGCAGAGCACAGCATGCACTGCGTATCGCTTCGTAAGGGTCATGGAAGCCTCCACGTTAGCCTTGACAATTGTCTCTGATGCACTTGTGGTGTGGAGGAAGATGTTCTGCACTTTGTGGGCCTTGAACATTTTGTAGCCAGAACTTGTGTGCTTCTGTGCTCCAGCTGCTTGGCCATGCCCTTGGATGTGGCTTTCCGAGAATGCGGAAGGAAAGTCCTTCAGCTGCTTGGTCCAAGGTCCTGCTGGAAGTGGTAGCTCTTGCGGCTCTGGTACATCCCGTGTCGCCATAGCCTTCCCTGAAAAAAAGGCAGCTCAGTCAGCGTTTTAAAAGGAGGACGGAAATTTGACCAACACAGTTTTTTAATGGGTTTGGTGTTGTTTTGACAGAATTAACCTAAACTTGCGAAGTAAGAGTTCATCTAGGGTAACAACCCCTCAAAAAAAGCCTGCTGTAAACTTTGTGCTAAAAAAAGAGCGTTTGCTATTAGGCAAACATGCCAGCTTTTGTAATCTACAACTTCTTGTGCACTTTCGAACATTACACAGTCGAAGGAGCATTCTGAAAGCAAGCCACGCACTGGCATTGGGGACAAGCATCTCCAGTGTCACTGAGCTGCTTGTTGCTGCTGCCCTGTCAGTGTCCATGATATAGTGCAGCTCTGAATACGAAGAACGCGTTTTGACCATAATCCGTTTCGTGCCAGCAGCATAAAGCTGCTGGCACGACCGTGAAGTGTTGTACAGGAGTGGCAAAGACACTCCAGCTTTCAATGCGTCAGTGTTCGTCCAAAAGAAGCAGTTCGCAGAGCCACTAAAAAGTGTCTAGCATTTCATATGCACGCGCTTGCGTGAAAACGGGATGATCAATAAAGATATGCACTCGCGGGACGCTGTGTTAGCGCGGTTCGCAGGGGCAATCTTGCCTCACCACAGTGAGCGCGCTAGCTGAACTGTAATTTCGATAAACAATGGAATCTCCCCCATACTATGCATAAAACGCAGTCAGAACCCCTTCTCCCGCCGCGACGAAGAACCGAACGCGAAGGATGTGATGCTGCGCGGACGGTTGTTGACGAGCGCTGCCGAGGCACGCCGACCGCTGGTACAGCTTCGCAAGCGTCCGAAGGGCAAAAAGATCGCAACGACAAAGCACCGTCCCGAATGTTGAGCACGCAAGCAGTACTCGATATCCCACGCTCACATTTCACAGGGCGAGCGCATCACGAAGCGAAGGCATGTCGGCCTTCGCTTCGTGATGACTACTTTATTTCTCTGCTTACAGCGGTGACATTTGTAGTGATGTTCGAAACTGCTCTCTCGCGACCGCACACGAGTTAAATGAACGGCCTAGGAGCGGGATAGAGCGTAACGGCAACAGTCAGTACTCACCCCGGGAGCGGCGAACGAAGCGGCGTGGTGTCCGTCGACGGCCGCGTCGAAAACGATGGAATATGCACAAAAACACGTAATATACAGAAGAAATACAAAGCGCTGAACGAAATAGATACACTTATGAACAAGAAAAATACACTGGAGTAGATAAAAAAGAGGATTATTAAGTATAAACAACGAAGATGAAAAGTATGTCTAGGGCGAGGTGATGCGATTCCAACGGAGAGCAGCCAGACGACGGGGGCCGACAGAACACCGATCCCAAGATTCCTCGCGCGCGCGCCGGGGCGCTTGGGAGAGACTGCAAATGGTCTATTACGCAATGCGAAGCGTCATGCTTGCATTGCGTACAGCCACAGCGCAGAGTTAATTTTTTGGTCTAAACGGATGTTGTGTCTGATCATTAGCTGAGCTGATTTCGTAGATCTCAGAGATTGGCTCTTCGAGTGTTTTGCGGGTAAGTAGACGTGCAGGCATATCTTAGAGTGTGAGTGAGAGAAATGACGTGGCTTACCGTACGGCTTCTTCAACTGTGGCTACGAGAGTGCGAACGTAATCGTTGATAACCCGGCCTTTACGGCCGCTGGCGTCTGTGAAGTCCTGAAAGGCGTCGTCGAAGAAAATATTTGCTGAAAAAAACGAAAAGTATATTCAGATTTGTCTATTCAACGAATCACCCAGACGGTATCAGGTCTTTACCTGACATATTTTACCACAGCGAGATAGGAACACGAACCGAAGTTCACGAAGAGCGCTTCAACACTAGACTGCGAGATCTTTTTTGGGACCGGAGCAGCTCGGCAATGGGGGCTTGTCCGGCCATGAGTAAGGACCACACGCGGCGCTGCGGTCGATATACCGAGAGTGGCCCGCCAAGTCTGGCAGAGAGTGTTGGATGGGTGGATGAATGCTAACGGCTGTACTCTTTATAAAGGGCGGTAGCTCGCGTCACCTAGCGTCAAAAGCAAATGTATCATTTTTCTTCCCCGCCAATTTCCTTCCCCTTCATCTTTTTGTAACTATATCAATAGGCGGTGTTAGATTGTGCCGGGTGTCAAACATTTAGAACGCTGCCGTTGCTGTTCAGTGTTCTGACAGTGCAGTCAGAACGTCGTCGTATCTCTTGTTTTGAGTGCCTTCAGTTTTGTATGAATGTGCGTTCCCTAAGGATATATTTCGAATGTGTTGTGTTGTGCTGGTTCCGACGAAGGTAAATGCATGTCGGCGAAACGGCGGCAGACCTGGTGCTGTGTGCTTGGCTGCCCCGAATGGGCTACACGCACGTGGATGAGAAGACAGCGTCTGTTTTCGGCGTTCTGAAAGACACAACCGCAAAACACGCCTGGGAAAAAAAGATCGGATCCTTTGGACAAGTGTCTTAAAGAAACGAGCGCTGTCTCCACGCATGCACATATCTCACCGGTAAAGCGACAGTGAGACAGCTGTCGACATCTACATTTCGAGCCCTATGCCAGTCGCCGTACCCACGTTTTCCCGGTGTTCTAGTACACTGTAATAGCTGTACATGTTTCCAATGAAAACATCCCGGGCCCATGTCTGTGCATAGGATCCCATCCTCGTCGCCAATTGTGATGATCCGCGCCAAGCAGATTGCGCGTTTTTATTGCCTTCCCAGTGGGGCCCTCGTGCTGTTCCTTCCTGCAGCTCATCAGACTACACACAAACCGTCTCGGGCACTACCAGCAACGGATATCCGTCAACACAAAAATTTGCACGCACTTCATCCTCGCTTTAAATTAGTTCTTGACTCGCAAGGAGTAGCTCTATCTGGTTCTATCCTTGATTAGTCTTGTTATCTCCCTTCGTACCATGTTGACGGGTAGCTGAAGCAACGAAGAGCGTGGCGAACGATCGTGCATCTTATTATCTCTCCGCAGCCAATGAGATTGCAGCGTCAGCCGATAAGAACACAGAGGTACCAATCACGAAGCAAGAAGCGTGAAACTAATAAGTCACACCCTGGTTTCCTCAAGCTTTCAGCGACTCTAACGCCTTATTCACACTGGCGGGCGAACCGCATTCGCGAGGCGGTTGCGAGTGCGGCTACTTAAATATTCAGCGGAAATTCACGCTCATTTGATCATCAAAGCGAGCTATAATCATCTTTTCGGTTGCGAATCGAATGCCGGTGTGAATACAGCGTGACTGCTGTGGGACTGCCGTCCGTCGGTATCTGAATGGTCAATGTCCCGAGGCCGGATTTTGGGTTTTCAAATATGGCGGACGCTCTTTTGCCTGTCTCTTCCATCTTGGATTGGATTGGATCGTGGTGGCCATTCTCATTGTATCGGGTGGATGAAGTTCATGATTTGCTCTGCAGTCAAAAGTATTTTGGTGGTAACTATGGCAACTACGTCACTACTTCTTAATCTGACCCCACCAGACCTGATCTTCTCTTGGTGCGTTCTGAAATGTTTTCAGTTCTTAGCGCCGCATCAGCCGAGTCCACGCTGGCTTCCGCCTCCGTCCAAACGCTAAGAGTCTCCGAGAACAAGTCCGTTGTGGCTCCGACCTCAAACTTTGTCAGTACGTGACGAATAGTTACTGTCTCCGTTCCACAGATGGCGGAATACACCTGATAATATTGTTAGCGTTCACGAGCCTCGCCTTACTTAGGTGAAGACGAAGCATCGGATCCGCAACCTTTCCTAGGCAATCCCGTTTTGAGTCACACCATTACTGTTGAATACCCTGCTATGCTGGTCTCAAAGGCATCCAGTTTTTAACAAGGGTCTCGGGGGTCGAGGCGCAGAAGTTCGTTCTCAAAACATCGTACCTTTTTGGTGATACTATTGAACTCACCTTCAAACAGGTAGGGCTCCTTTTCTGTCCATAAGTGGTATGCACGACTACTCCTTCGAGCGATTTGGTCGAAGTCTACTCTGTAATGTTCAATGAAAGGAAAATGGCAGCGACCTTTATTTTTAAAGTTCCATAATGTATGCAATGCTGTATTTGAAAAGCTACCCATTACATTTGTTAAGGAGGTATGAAACAGTTGTTTCAAGGGTGATCTATATCTTTATCAATTTCACAGGTAAATTTAGCTGATAGACTGAACTGCTGTGTACATAGGGTGATTATGATCCTCGGGACAGAAACCGGGACACCCGGGGGGGGGGGGGGGGGGGGGGGAAAGGGGGGAAGGGGGGAACATGTCGAAGTCAGTAGCACTACAAAAAACGTCTGGCAAATTTATTGGCAGATGTAACAAGGGGAAGCTTCAAATTGTGCTGTATGGGAGGTAAATATTTATAGAGCGTTTATTTTTATACTATTGCGTCTCTAAGGAATAAACATGCTTTCTGTTATAAGCTTCTATTCGCTTAGTACCGATGTCGCAACTGCACGTTCCTTCGAAACGGGATACTGGGCTTTTTCGGTGCAAAATGACGAGACAATGTAAATGAACCTCTAAAACACTGTGTATAGATCACAAGACAGCGAGCATTTTCCGCGCCAAATAATCGGGGCAACTGGGTTGGTGTTTACGCCGTAGTCCTCTGCTAAATTTAGCGGGGAATTTAAGATTGGTGTTTTTATCATACGGCGTCAATTTTCCTACTACATATAAAGGGGGGGACTTAATTTTTTCTATAGTCCACGTGACGCCAATTTTCTTCCTAAATTAGTGGGGAAACTGAACCGGTGTTTAGGTCACGTAACGTCAATTTCACCGCTAAATTTAGCGGGAAAACGAAGGGAAGTACGTAAGACCAATTTTTTTTTATAATGAAGGGGTTTTGTTAAAATGCATTCCCTTCTTTCAAACACTCGCGAGTAAATCGAATGAAAATGCATGTCCAGATTGACAACCAATTTACCATACGCGTATCCTCAAGAAATTAAAAAAAAATAACGTAGAAAAAACACACAAAAACAAACAAACGTGAAAGCTACAGTAATGCTGTTTGTGCAGGTGAGTTATAAGGCCGGGGGGACAAAGTGGGGCCAATTGTAACGGTCAGTCGCCTAATGAACTAAAATAAATTCATTAGGTTTTTAATTGTTCTAATTAGAAACTTGCTGAGCGTCATGGAAAACCACCAAATCAGTCAATATTAGAAAGACATGGAGCACGTGGGAAGCAGGGTGGAGGGCTGAAGTTACCACTCGTGCTGCAGGTGCAAGGCTATCGCTGCGATAAGGCACCCTCGCAGTTGGTCCGTTTCTGATCATCCACTTTTTTCATCCCAGCCTCGTGTCTGACTCTGTTCTGCGAGTGTAAACTTTATCGCACTATACCGCGTCTTTATAAAAGTCTCAAAGTCTTTATAAAAATGATTTTAGTAGTCTTTGATGACGCTCAACATGTTTCTCATTTGTGCCATATGTTTATTATCACCATTAAGAAGTTAATCAACAAATGTATTTAACCAATAGACTTATGGTCCCTAGTCATGTCCACCTGGACGTATAACTCACCCGCGTATACCGCGAAAGTGTAGCTTTCAGGGGTTTTGGCCCAGACCGGGTGTGTGCAGTGCGCGTGAAGCGTCTTGCGCCTGCGCAGTGCCGGCAGCAGCGCCACAGCGCCGGCGTGGCGTCAAGGGGCAAAACTGGGTCGGCGTATAAAGCGCTTGCCTGAGCATGGATTTGACAAGTTGTAGCATCTCTTCTTTGGTTTCGTGCCACATGGTGGCGCAGGCGTAAATCCTGGTGACGTCATCCCGCTCGTTCAAGTCGTCGACGAAGGAGTGGATTGTTGAACTGGCCGCGCTTGTTTTACGGGAAGGCGAAAAGGCCTCCTCCTTTCAGGGCACAAAGGAACAATGAAGGAACGTTTAGATTAGTTGTGAGCAGCGGCAACGAGGTGATGAGCTGGGCAGGTTGGTGATCGTTAATAGAGTCAGCGACTGTTTCGTCTTGTGTTACACCATAGCTTCCTTTATACTCGCAAAGCCTGGCAGTTCGACGACGGAGCCACAAAGTGCCCGGTCGCAGATTTGGAGCGCGAGGATCTGGTAGCATACAGAGCATCAAAGAGCCATTTCTTGGGGAACCTGGACGTCAGCGCACAGCTTTTGCAGCGGCGAGGATTCAAAACACACTTGTTCGCTCGGGAGAAGTGTGTTTCGGCGTTTCGCCATAGCGGGGCGCCAGTCACGTGGCTCTCCTCTCATCCGTTGTCTGCCGCATCACCTTTTCCATTTCGGCGGCCGCGTCTCGTGGCGATCTGCCAGGCTTTGACGGTATATAGGAGGTTATGGTTACACTTATTTCCTTCTTTCATTTTGAGCGTGGATTTTCATTGTGCTTTTCATTTTGTGCAGGCAGCAAGATGGGGGGATACAACGGCATAGGTCAACATTACTAGATCAACTCTGATATAAAACTCTTGTGGAGGGGGAGGGGGGGGGGGAGTACCTTCTTTCCCGCTCAAGTCCGCGCCCCTCGTTTGAAACGCCATCTAAAGGCTGCGTTTCAAAACTGTGTAATCTATAAAGTACGGTAAAGAGCCATCCATACGCCTTGCTTCAAAACCTGTGTTTTCCATAGGGTACACTGTTGTTACCGTAGAAGCCGTCCCCAAAACGACGGTGCGTCAACCAACCTGAGGCGGACCTTGGGGGGAGATGGAGGAACACTGCTTGTAAAAGCAGCGTCTGCGAGCAGTTCCGTAACTGAGTTGATCAGTAAAACAGGCCTTCTGTCATTACGGCCTTTCACCACTTGAACCAATCATTGACCTATAGATTAGCCCGTGCCATTTCAGTCTTTCATTGGGGATGTGGGGATGACCGGAAGCGGCCTTCGAGCACACCAGGGGGGCCTGGCAGTCTTTAAAAAATGCCGGCCATTTTGGAAATTGCAGCTGACGACTCTGGTAATGAGAGCATTTAACGGCCTTTTTGACGCCCGATGTTATGAAAGCTAGAAGGGAGCACTCTTGCTGTGTGAACTACTTTAGTGTTAACCAGCCACAAAGGCTGGTCCTCACTGAAGTGGTTCACAGAGCGCCGTATTTTTTTACGCTTACTTGCGTTACGTATAAGTCACCGAAGCATTCGTGTATCGAGTGTCACCTGCCAGGCTATCTCCTTGAACTGGCAGCGTGGAAAGCATACATATCAATTTACGCAGTATAGATCACATGCACTTTTAAATTCGTCGACATTTACTAAAGACACAATGTTGGCTGGCAGTTTGTCCCAGTCGGCAATTGCCAACTGTAAGGGTAATAATGTCTAAAAGTTTTATATGTGATGTCTGTAATAGTATCGTACGCTGATGATCAAATCAAGGAAAAATACGGTGTGGCAGCTGTAAAAGTTCAATCTTGAGGAGTGGGTTATTATAATACATGTTATGGATGAAGTTTAGCCAAAAACGTTTTCTTCTCGTAGAGAGAAGAGGCAAGTCTGCTTTTTCTTTCAGCTGAGATACGCTTGTGTGTTGAGAATAATCTTTGTAAATGAATCTGCTTGCCCTGTTTTGAATTGACTCCATTTTTTTTAATTAGGTAGCCTTGAGAAGGATTTCATATGATAAAAGCATACTCTAATTGAGGCTTCGCAACGTAACGCAACACAAGAAAATGGGGCCGCGTGAACCAGCCTTGTGACAAAACGACGACTTCATACCGTGTTATCATGAAAGTGGTTGGTTGTCAGACTTGCCTGATGTCCAAACGACCTCCAGGTGAATGGCCTTGACCGCAGCAATCTCCGATTAGTTAGCCGACGATCGTAGCGTCAGGCGACAACAGTAACCAGCAAGCAGTTGCCGGGCGATAACACCCCTATCTAATACAATTGGCGTGTAATATAAGTTCAAAGAGGGGAGAAAAAAAAGAGGAACTGGTTTTTTATGATGACACCGATCAGTTTTGAAGTCTGTGCATTAGATCGTTCGTTTTAAAACCAACCAAATTAATTTTGGTACTCTTCAGCGTATAGGACTGAACTCGGACTCGTTGAAGTTTCGGAACCTGCTAACGAAGTGTCCGTTCAACGCCAATAAGCATCAGTCAGATTTCGGACTCCGCGGCTGGGGTTCAAAACGATTAAGTGAGGATCCGTAGTCAGGCTCTTTTTTTTTTTTTTTCGGGGACACTAAGGGAAAAAAAAAGGGGGGGGGGGGCCATTGGACAAAAGATTTGTTCAAAATGTAGAATATCATTCGAATGTCATTCTTACCGGTAGCTTGGAATAGGAATTCCTCAAGTTCAGTGCTGTAGACTGCTCGAGCAAAGCGCTGCAGTAGGACGGCCGAGCGAAGATCCTGCAAAACCCGCGTAAGCTTTTAAGGACACGACTCGCATTTATAGTGGCCACTGTAAACTGTTTCGCGCACTCAATGGCGTAATATATGTCCTTTTTATGATGCAATTTCTAAAGCCTTAAGACTAAAGGACGCAGTGTTTGACGTCAAGTGTACCATGACCTGTACGACACTAGATAGGGCGGCTGTTTATGCGTGCCCAAATCTAGGGCGCTCTTTGAATTTCTGAAGGGCATAATACTGAGCGCTGGAATTTCTGGTCCGCGTCCATTCTAAGGGAACGCAGCTATCCATCAACAGGCTCTCGTCAAAAGTTTCCGCCATCTAGGAGCTGTTGAGCCGACTATTCGAGTCCGCCATTGTTTGGGCATGTGCTTTGGGCATGTATTGGGACGAGGGAAGCGCAAGCGTTCGTATAGGACTTGAATCGAATCACACATTTCATGCCCAAGAAATGGCGACCGCCGATGTTGCTTGACTGGGTTTTGAAATGGGCCTAACCTGCTGCATGGAGCTCAGCTACCATCTCAATATGAAGATTTTCCCTCTGTGGCTAAATGTGAGATAAACTGACCTTCGTAAACTAAGTTAGTTACTAGATCGTGAAGAGGGAGCTTTTGCTAAACCTCAGAACGGCATGGCGATGTTTTCCTAGGAGACCTACAGCTTCTTCGGGGCCCTGAAGAAGCTCGGTCTCTTAGTGAAGCACCGGCACGCCGTTCTGAGGTTTACCAGAAGCTCCCTCTTTACGTTCTTCTGCCGGCTTTGCTTCTCTTGGTGGTTTATATAGTAGTATATCGTATACCCTTTTCTTAGTTCTAGAGCCCGGGTCAATTCTACACATGCCTGACGAACGTTACTTATAGTCGGCAAGCGCTGACGTTGTCTGTGAGTCAGCGCGTGTCCTGTGCTTTGCCAATCTTAACTTGTGGCTATGATGAACACTGATGGCATATAATTGACACCAGATCGCATGGCCGTTTGTTGTGGCTGCAAGATGAGAGGCTGAACGCTGCTAGTTTTCGTCGAACTTTTTTCTGCGACTGACGTTGCGATGGAGAAAATAACGAACGCGTGTTTTGTAGTCATGAAGTAAACCTAAACCGTATTTAATGAAAGTATGAAAGTAAAAAAAAAAAAAAAACGTTGTTGCAGCGTTTTTTAAAGTAATATTGTTATAAACAAAACCACATACATTTTTACTATTTAGAGCGTCCGCGGTTAGGCAGTTCTGTTGATACACTTAACAGCAACAACAAAAAAGTTTTTTAAAAGAGTGCGTATTAAAGCAATGAGGCACAATAAATTTGTTATGTTTCGTGCTAGTTGCGCTATTGAGGTTTGCATAGTAACATGTTTCTGAATATCAATTAAGTAATGACCATGTAGAAGTTTAAAAACATAATTTCGTTCGATTCAACATCACCCTGATCTTATGGGCAAGAGGTCTGCACCGAACTTCAGTAAGGAGACAGAGTCTCCTTACTGAGATAGCAATTGAAAGTGAATCGGAAAGCTTTACTTTGTATTCGTTCTATTCTGCAAATATTTGGTTGTGTGAATACTTCCAAAACTGGGCTTGCATATTCAATCGTCGGTAATATCAGTGACTTATATGCTGTTCCTTTGAGCTTTGGATCGGCAAATTAGAACTTCCGATAAGTGTCCAAAGTATTGGCGCTTCATTGGAAACATTTTTTATCCGTGCATTCTAGTTCATATTAAATTTCAAAAGAGCGCCGAGGTATTTGTCCTCCAGTACATATTTTAAAGGCATCGCCCCGACACTACACGTCAACTGTTCTGGTACTTTTTTCGCGCTATGTTGATGGATACAGTGTTGGCTTTGTTTATTTGTATGTGCCATTCGTGAAACCAGCTCGCCCATTTCTGTAAATGCTCATTTACTTTCTTCTGATTATCGTATATATTTTTTAATATAAGTTTTTATAATTGGCGAAATGTCTCATTTTTGACACCAGCTTGAAATCCTCGGTTAATCTCACTGACATATAAGATGAATAGCAGAGGCCCGAAAACAAACCCCTGAGGCACTCCTGATACAAAGAATAACTTGTCTAAAATCGTACTATTTAATTGCACGAGCTGCCCTTTACCAACCAGGTAAGCTTCAAGCCAGGTCAGATTTCGATCATTGTCACGAATATACTTGAGTTTATGAAGTAGAATTAGGTGAAAAACACAATCAAATGCCTTGGCCAAATCAAAGAACACCGCATATATTTGTCCGCCCTCGTCCGCGCATGAACTTAAGTCGTCGGTTACTTCCGCTAGTTGTGCGACTGTTGAGCGACCTTGCCTAAAACCGTACTGATCATTTCCTAAGAGGTCATTTGCCTAAACAGAAGTTAGAATGTGCTCAACGATAACATATTTAACACTGCGACAAGGGAGTGATTTTTCGTATATGGCAGCTAACGAAAGAAAACATCGTTCTGCGTAATTTGTTAACAATATCTATGGGACATCATCAACGCTGGGCTAATTTTGTACATATAAGTTTAGAAGTCAACGAAAAATGGGACCTTTCGATCAATCTGAATATTATCAATACCTGCTATCGGTGATCTCTGTATTTTTGATGTGGAATGATGCCATTATCACGTGTAGAAACAGACTGGAAGAAACTATTAAACAATACGCCAATTTCGCTTCAATCGCTGACGATATCATCGTCAATAACAAAACAAGATACTGTAAAGGGCTAAATTTTCGCGAGGACCTACTTTTCGCGAATGTCGCGAATCGCCCTCTATCCGCGAAAAATGCGTCCCGCGAACAATTCGGGCAGTATGTGAACGCTACGAAAGCTACACTCGATTCGCGAATAAGAACCCGCGAATATGCCGTCTTTTTTTTTTTGTCAAGGACAGGTGTTTTGAAAACATATCGGGGAAGGATTTGATAATCTATTGGAGAGTAACATTAATATATGTTTTCTTGGCGTTTAATATATGCTATTTAGTTGTTGGGACACTGCTCTAATTACAGCGCGCCTGCCGGGCGATTAATTCAAACGTAGGCGGTCTCTTCGTCGTTTTATTCTGGTTGCTAGGTTGAAGTGGTTTACTGCCTCAACTGCTAGATGTGACCAACGTTACTAGAAAACTTCCAAACCAAGCTAATGGCGATCGCAACGCCGCCTTTTCTCCCGCAGCGGTCACTCGGAGAACTGCATGGCTGCTTGTATTGGCTCGGGAGTATCTCATTCGATAGTGTCCGCTGTGACTGTTCTATTTTAGCTTTAATCGGCCATTTTGGCGCTGAAACATGCGATGGAAGGGGTTTCAGGGATGCCAACCCCCGTCTCCCAAGCGGACGCGTCGCGAACTACTACCGAATTTAGGACGCGCCCAGGTCGAGACGCGCTACCTGAAATCACCATCAGACATGATTGTATATAAACAATATTAATTGTGCCGCAAAACCTTGTAAACTAAGGATTTGAGAAAACATCAGGCGCCTGTTATTTTGATTAATCTCCAATAAAGGTTCCTACAAAAACAATTTTTTCCTTTTGTTTTTACGCAAAAAATGCTTTCTAAAAGCTCAAAGTGACCACAGTAATGAAAAAAAAGGCTGAGCCGCCATCTTGGCACCTCCAGCGTGGGAGTTTCGGTACTCTGGGAACATTCAGCAACTCTAGCAGTAGCCATATAAGGCAACTTTCATGTTTCAACTTTCAACTCGTCCCTAAAGGGTGGCGCTCTCATCGTAGTTAGCTCGGTCTTGGTGGACGCCAGCGGACCAGGTTTCGAGGGTGAGTTTCCCAACTTTGTGTTATAGTAACCTTGGATGTGACTAAAAACATTACTCACGCCTCCTCGGCAGCCATCCTGGTGTTGTGAGAGGTCCATATGTAGCCTGTGATCCAGACTTGACCTAGGAACCAGAGGAGCCAGAACCAGGCTTGCTCGTTGGTGATGAATGTGATCAAGGGGTCGTTCGGACAGTTCCAGAATAGGTATTTGGGCAAAAAGTCATTGAAAAAGCAAACGTCCACGCCACGTGCTCCACATGCGATCACTATTAGCGCCATCGTGGCCGGTCCTGCCAGGCTCAGCGGAAAAGCCATGGACACCGCCTGGATGTCGATCCGGCAGGCGAAGACGCAGGCACGGTATCCGATGTAGCCAGCAGCGATGTGGATGCCAGCCACAATCAGTGAGACACCCCTGCGAGAAAATGGTCAAGAACAAACCTAAAGGAAGGAATGGGGTTAATCTAGATCGTGTATTGTGTCTGACTCAACAAGCGGTTGTTGTTGCTTGTACATCGTCTTTGTATGACCTTGTGTACGAGCACCCTTTCGATCTGCATCTGTGCAAGCCTATAGTTAGCTGTAGCAATCACGCCAGTTGATGTTAGTCCATGTGTCTCCGGCAGCGGCGAAGTTGCGGACATAGCACAAAATGATGCAGTGTGATATTGGTAGGTTCAGTACGCGCGCGTGGACAACACTTTACACATTGATTGTAATGAAAATCGACAGTAAAATACGGTAGGGGTACCATAACCGAGAACCACAGCATGCTGCCAAAGATACCGATCCATGACCATGCGTTTCAGTTTCGGTTCAGCACTTCTGAATTCTAAAAGTCAGGGTGTGGGTATGCCTCGGAATTTGTGTAGATGGCAAGGCACAGCAAGACGACATGACCTTGAACACCTTTCATGTTTCATTGTATCATAAAGACCTTAAAATAACTTAATGGGACCTAGGGAACAAGTTTAAGTGATCGCACTGTTGAGCCAGTGCGCATACATCCACCATAGCCTACCATAGTAAATTTACCGACGAGCAGAAGATGTCCGAGGTACGCTCAGGCATGCATTTACTGTATACTACAGATCAATTCGCAACGATTTTTGAATTGAGACACACCTTCGACTCAGGAGGAAGTCCTCCTCGCAAAGAAGAGCAGGTCCAGCAACCTCGGTGCCTTCGACGAACGTGCGAAGTTGGTACACAGGGACCTGATGCGACCCGAAACTCGTGTAGAGTTGGTCGAAAAGCGCTACCACCGACCCCGTGCTGAAGTACTCGATCGTGAGCATGCCCAGAAAGAGCACAATCATTTTCCAGATGGACATCAGGAGGAATACAACCGACCGACACTCTTCCAGGCTTCGCTTGCACGGGGCTAGACGGAGCATCTGGAACGCCGGGGCGTCTTCGTTCGCGGCTGTCTCCCACCAGGCGAAGGACACAAGGACCAGGGCAGCGGGAAGTGTGAGAACTCCCGTAGGGCCCAGGGTCCAGATCACTGTGCCCGTGACCTGACCCGCAAACGCGAGGATGTTGAGAGCCGTTTGCCAGTGCGCCCTCTTGTGCGAGAGAGACGCCAGGAGAGCCGGCACTATGGCGACGCAGTTGCAGATCATGGCGCCCTTCACGGCATCCATTTCTGGAAGAACCGCGAAGACCAGGAGACAGAGGCCCGTGGCATGAAAGGTCTCGACGACGAAGACCTGCGGAATGAGGATACATGAGTCTCTCGTTTTAGTCAGTTTTTAGAGCGCAGCTCTTAGGGGCCCGTTTCCGGCTTGAGCGGCGTCGCCGTCGCCGTCGGCTTCGGCGTCGCCTTGGGCGTAACCGCGAGGTCACGTGACCCACCGAGATCACGTGATCCCCGAGGTCACGTGACCTCCCTCAGGTCACGTGACCTCAAGGAGTCACCTATCGCTCAGTACGCTTCCATCCTTCTCCTCAAGAGCTGCGCTCTAATTGGCGTTACAAGGATTTGTAAACTGCTTTCATTTTTTTTTAATTTGTTTCCTACTTCACAAATCATACTAGATACGAAATTCTGAAGTAGTCCACGTCGTTTCGCAGTGGCATTAACTTTTAACCCGAGCATATTGAAACGCGGTCATCTCTAATACAGATGCAATATGAGGGGTATCAAGGGAAGGAGTAAAGAAGATATACTCGCGCTAACTTGTGCACAGTCGAGCTATGCAGACTTGTACACAACGTTAAATCTAATGTGGAATTCCTTCGGCAGATTTGGAGCGATCCAGAAGCACACCTTGCCCGCGCTTTTAGCGTGGTAAATGCGAGCGCGTGCTTGCACGCCCGAGCAGATACCCACAAGAAAGCTTTCCCAAACCGCTCCAAATCTACCAAGAGAATTCCCCATTCAGTTGATAAATCTCCAACAGATATGCGCATACTACTAAATAACGGAACTCAGTAAATTACTCGTTACTGTCTCAAGCAGAAACTCAATATATTCCGCTTTATGAATTTCGTAAAATGAACGGATTAATTTGCCCAGGGATGCTTACTTCCTTTGTTATTTCTCATGTTACTCTATAGCTGGCGGACAAGCGCTTACGTGCACTTGTTCGTGTTGTACCTGCACCATATCCTTCATCCATTTCTTGTTCGCGCATCTTAGGTCTTTTTTTTTTTTTAAATCGGGAATCAACTGACTGACCCAACCCGAAGTTTTAGTGCAAGGTTGGAATTGTAAAAATTTGTGGAAAAAATAACTATATACCGCTACTCCGTCAAAACGTAACTTAAACACGTTGCTAGAATCGAGTAACACAAAGCCGTTATTTTTGTTAGGTTTGCACGCAACGCGTTTCGGACAAGCGTATTGGTGTCCTCTTAAATGAGCTATGTCTCTCCCGAAATTATATAGAACACGTTACAAGTCCGCCGTTGTCCGGTATTCTTTTCTTATCGGTACCGGAACGTTATCTAAGTATACGGGTCACAAGAATGTACCCTGGGGGCTGGAGAAGTCTCATACCCGTGCTCATTTTTCTTCAAGATAAGCCTCATTAACATCGTGGTCCTGTTCCACGCCCAAAATTTAAAAAAAAGAAACCTACCAACAATTTTTTAACGTAAAAAATTATAAAAAACCCTTTCATTTTAGGAAACACAAACCCCCAAAACACAGAACCTATATAGTGGCATACCCTAGGACCATAAATGGCACGCCTGAAATATCGAAATGTTCGACGCGTAATGGTAATGATTCCACGGCAAAACAAGAGTTCTACGAATGAGCTTATGAACGTGTGTCTATGCTCGTATTAAGCCGCGGTCAGACTGCTCATACACCACACAAAAGACAGTCTGTCTACACTGTAACATGCCTGTTTCTTAGGCTAGGTGGCGCAAGCTACCGTCCGTTACAAAGGGTGTAGCCATTAACCTCCATCCATCCATCCATCCTCTCTTAGAGTGTACTCTAGTACACTCTAACATTCGCCATACTAAAACGGTTTGCAGACGTGTTCGAAACTATGCATACGTATGTGAGGCCAACATTGTTCGAACATGCTCGAGACGTGTGCGCAGGTAATTCTGTCATCATGTCTGTTGCGAGTACCTGGATGGATGGATGGATGTTAATGGCTCTACCCTTTGTAACGGGCGGTAGCTTGCGCCACCTAGCCTAAGTCTAAAATGACAAAAAACATGATTTCTTCTGCCCTTTTAAGACCCCTTTTCTCCCCCTAACTATCACCAGGCAGTGTGAGATATCACCGGGATAACCTTCAGAGAATCGGGCAAAAAAAACATTATCTTCCTGCCCCGTCCCCTTGGCGAGGGAGTCGCCAATTTTCCTCTCGTCAAACCTTGTCGGCATTACCCCAGCAACGGACCCACTGGGAGGCAGGGTTGAGACTTTGGGTCGGAGCCACGCTGGAGGATGTCCCAATTTTCCTCTGTCCCGCCTGTTCCCAGCTGTGCTAGTTAGTTGTCCATCGTTCCTTGTGTGATGCATGAGCAGGGGGGACTCTTCAGAGGGTTCCTTGTCCAGACGCAGCGGGCCGACGTCTTACCAGAAAAAAGGTCTTGGGACCGGGCATCTTGATACTTCGTAGCATGCACTCTTTGACGCAGTCGAGGAAGCAGATCAGCTCGGGAACGCAGAGCACGAGCAGCAACATCCATTTCCAGGCAACTCGCTGGACGCTGTCGACGCCCGTCGAATAGAGCTTGTCTTCCTCGAGAGCTGTAGAAGGGCAGGAACGCGCACACAGTTAGCGCTGGATTCACAGATTTGCGGCTGTTTACAGCCGAGTGCCTTAAAGGGATGCTGAACCGAAATCTGAATTCCACAAAACACGCGGCAAAAGCGTGCAACGGGATGCTACAAACACCAAAACATCACTCATACAGTGATATCTCAAACAGATAACCGTATTTTTCCACAAAAAAGGAGGCGCATTTGACAGATATGTGTACGTCTTGTTTCTCCGAGAAGGAGAGGGAACGGCCTCGCGTCTTCTCCGCCTCGCCGCCTTGAGGGGATGAAGCGAAGAGAAGAGGAAACGAGATATCTTGACGTCACGCGCCTCGTCGGCCTCGTTCAATCTCGACCTCTTTTTCCAAAAATACAGCCGTCCGTTCGAGATATCGCCTTATGAGTAGTATTGTAGGGATTGTAGCGTCCCACCTACATCTCCTGCATTGTTTTCTTGAAATCCAAATTTCGGTTCACCAGCCCTTTGAAGCCTTTTGGGGATTCGTTACTTTGGGAGAATACACTGGGGCCATCTATCGGCTGGCCGTGGAACTCTCGGCATTTCTGTTTGTTGTAATATTCCTTTTTTTCTCGCATTTCTTTATTTTTAGCTCAAAAAATCTTTCCACAGTGCTGTAAACGACCATGTCTTATGGAAGGCACGTACATTTGATCTAGAAAATACCGCGAAACCTTCGCTCCAGTGAAAGGCAGTTCCAGGGTTTCCTCATAGATGGCGCCCGCACGCCAGTGTGTTTTCTCGCCGTAAAAGATCACAAGTACTTGGTCGTAAGCGAATGCAAGTTCTCATCTTAGCCGCTAAGGACGCAGTGGTTAAATCTCCTCCCCAATAAGGGCTTTCTTGTCTGGGGTGCCTCGGTGGAGGAACCATCGGGGCCTTGAACTCACACAGTCCGTCCTTGCAGATCTTCCTGGTGCTGTTGAGGAAGGGACTGGTCGGCGGAATCTTGAGCTGGGACGTCATGAAGAGCAGCGTGCCCCGTGTGACGACGGCGCCGCCGAGGACCAGCGAGAAGGTGAGCAGGTAGGCGAGCACCTTGAGGAGCTTGAGGGCGCAGAAGACCCAGAACGAGGTGCGGGTCTCGTCTTCCTGCTCCTGGGGTGTCTCCTTGAACATGTGCACGGAGCTGGAAGCACCGATGAATCAGAAAAACAGTACCACTGGTCAAACATTATACAAAAGACACGGTGTCGGCAACATGACAACAGCAGAATTGTATAAGGACAGGTCTCAAGCGTGTTCGAAGTGTGTCTGCTTTACACATATGTGTTCTTCGAACATGTCTGCAGGGAGTTTTTGTACGACCAATGTGGCGGGACGCTCATACAAGGAAGATACCAGGGTTGTAGGCGTTACCGAAGAGAAGTAACGAAATACGTTGCTCGTTACTTGCAAATAATAGTAACGCGTTACCGGGTTACGTTAGTTAAAAATAAGAGGAACGCGCTACCGTTACCGATAAAAAGAAGGCACGCTACTTTTGCGTTATCTTTTAACAGTTTTACTGTTTTGAAGTTACAGGTATGCTTAAGCGGCCATATTTCAAGAAACATTATGTCCATGAAGGCACTGAACATAATTACTTTATTATTATTTTTTACGGTTTCACCTGAATATTTACGAGAAAAAGCGCAAAAGAAAAACGCAAAATGCTCAAAAATTTTCATAGCTTAGTGCCTAAAAAGAAAAAGAAAAAAAAAGATTAAAGTGTAACTGTTTTTAAGTTCTGGAAAGAAAAAGTGACGATTAACGTAACTTTGTTACCCGTTACTCGAAATAGGTAACCTGAGTATGTTACCCGTTGCTGTTTTGAAAAAGTAAGGAGTAAATTAGACATTACCAAAAAAAGAAAAAGTATGGCGTAACCGGTGACGCCGTTACTCTTAACGCGTTACCGTCAACACTGAAAGATACACAGCCCAGACTGTCTTTTGTATGATAGGAGTACGATTGCGGCTTAACGAGCCAGTTCTTGTTGTGGTTCATTTTGCATCCCGTAAAAACTCGTAACCAGCATCTTTTTAAAATTTTTTTTTTTTAATGCAATAGCACTCTTTAGCTTCCCATCCCCCCCCCCCCCCCCCCCCCCTCCTCCCCCTGATTTCGTGGACCTTTCTGGCCTGCTAATGCGCACTTTCGCCGCTAAATTTAGCGGAAAAATTGACGTCACAGGACCTATACACCAGTTCAGTTTCCCCGCTAAATTTAACGAGATATTTGATGTCGCGGGACCTGACGTCACGGGACGAGGAGACCAATTTAGTTTCCCCGCTAAATGGACCTTTTCCGAGAAGCGTTCTGCGCACGCGCGAGCGCCCGATACCAAGCGGCGGAAGTTGGCACGAAAAGTCGAGGAAATTCGGAAGAAGGCTGTGGACCAGCGATTAAAACACGTAATTACAGCATATATATATAATTGCGTTGCACAAAAAAAAAGGAAGTGGACGGAAAGAAAAACACGACGTTTAGGCGGACTCCGCTGCTGCTCAGAGAGCGAAGAAACTGGTAGCGTAGCTCCCATTATCGGTTGTTAGCGCAGGTAGGTCACGTCCTCGATTTCTAGTTCGTGCAGCCACCGCCTGGTGCCGTCGGTTAGCGGAACAGGTCCATTTAGCGGAAAGCTTGGCATCACTTAATCCCACGTCAATCTCTATGGGCTCTGTGCCTTAAAGGTTTTCTTAGAGGCTTTCCTCGACGTCGTCCTAGAAGCCGTCCTTGACGCCGTCCGTGGCTTTGTAACAAAAGAAGGGGGTAGACATGACCAAATATTATCGCAATTTATGGACAACCAACAATAGTGGTTTTTGTAGCCAATTTTTGAATGGCTATTGGCTATTTTACTATACTGCGTGTCCGCAAAAACGTTTAGTGTTTGTGTTTTTTTTTTTTTTCACCGTTAAAAATAAACGGCGCATTGTCGATCGCTCGTTCTCTTAAATGTAACTCTTGCGGTCCGAACTGGATTCCACAGTTTCGGAACTTACGGTTATATTATTCGACAGTTCCAGGTGATCTTCTGAAAGTTCCAATGGGATAATGGGTTCTGTTTCTGTTAACTGACGCCATTCCTCTTTGTGTATACTCGTAAGATTTGTCGGTTGCAATTTTAACGATAAAGGTTTTTTCCTAGTCCGTTTTTTTTTTCAGTGTTTGTTAGTGCGCCTCATTGCCGCGTTCACGTTTTCGGTAAACACGGTTTTAATACCAATTACTACTATAGTCGGTGTGGCAGATTAAGAACCCAGTGTTATGCTCCGCCTCCACCACGCGCTCGCTGCCTTCGGCCAATCAGAGAGCATCCGGTGAAGTCAGAGCTTTCGCTCTCTGATTGGAAGGACTAGTGGGTAAACGCGGGGGCTAGCCACCTACGACTCTACGTATTGTCTCCCTCCAATCAAAGCGAACAAGAGCGCCGTCTGCTGCTCGCTGAGTGTCTGGCGTTCGAACACTTGACACCTGTGTTCGTCGTTTGGCATGCGCGACACCTAGCCTGTTCGTTCTGTTTGGAGGGAGACAGTGGGTAAAGGTGAAGGCAGTTAGCCTTTGCGTGTACCCACTAAATCCTTCCAATCAGAACTCGGCGCTTTGATTCACCGCAAGACCTCCTCTCCATCAGTTTCTCATCGTGTAAGTTCATCGTCGGAATCCTTCATGTGATCAAGTTACGCGCCGCTGCGTCCAACAAACAATTTCCGATTTTATTATTTTTTTTCGGCATGCGGTTTCGTTGGTATGTTTTTATGCGAAAGCATTAACTGGTCCCATGGAGCGAACCGGCGTTATCAGCTTTTGAAGCTACGTCAAACGGCACCTAAATTCCCCTGTCCCATGAAGCGAAGCCTGTAGCAGCCACCCCATTGGCAGGAGAGCGCGCCGTAGTTCCAAGAAACGCCACCACACAGAGAAGCCCTCTCCGTTGCGCAGCGGCCCGGCCGCCGCCGTTAAGAGGGACCTGCCGGCCGCAGGGTCAGCGGAGCCCACCCGGGCAGACTCCGGAGAGGTCGCACGGCCTAACCCAGCGCGGCGCGCAGCTGGTACGAATACGCCACGTATATTTTTTTAGGCTTAGTTAATTTCTACCACTTTCGTTTTACGGTCTCTCTACCTGCTGTACAGCTCAAGTAAACGTCTCGTTGGCTGTCACCTTGGTGTCTGCTGCTCGCCTTGGTCTTCGACTTGGGTACCTTGATGTCCTTCTTCGCCATCTTCTGGCTCAGTTGGAAAAGGTCCGGTAATGCCTTGAATGTCGTCAGAGCGCGCGAAAAAAAAACAAACTACAGATTGCGTAAAAATCATGGCTAGAAATTAACACAGTACGCTGATAACTGTCACGTGCTTATGCTTAGTGACAGCGGAGAACGAGCAACATGCACGGGCAGAGCCATTTATACTTGTGAGTTTGGTCTTCTTAAGGAGATTTCGACAGCCTGGCAACCACAGCAGCGTAGTCTGATAACCGGGGAATGAATACTTCCGTCCTCCATTTTGTGGCTCTGACTGATAGGAACTCTATGCGATTTCTCAGGAATAGACAAGACGAAGAAGCAACGCCAATTTGTGTTGTCGTGAAATCCGCTGGTCCTTGCGGGCAACAAGCTCCGCCCATTGGCCAAACTCTCTCGGTTTAAACGGCTCTGTGGCGTTTAAACAAAGCATTGAAGACGAAAATTACAGTCTGGAAAAAGCGCGTGTGTATGTACACAATTAATTGGATTCCACATAGGTTCCAGCTAAATTAACGCCCCGCATACTTTTTTCCGAAACAAGTCATATTTTTATGTGGATCGGAGATTATATGTGCAACGCCGTTTCTCTTTGCTTCCTTTTCGCTTTTTTCTTTTGTTATCTAGAACACGTAGGTGCTATGTAGATTGTCGTTCCACTTAGAGCCACTAAATGAGCTACGCTGAGAGTATCGGCATTTTCTTCACCGATATTCTTCTGGGCGCCGCCATCTTGGTGCTTGGTACACATCGTCATGATGCAAAAGTGTGACTTCCTCAGCATTAGATTCGGTGTTAGACAGCTCATGTAATATTGCTTTACTCTGACGCGAGCTGTATAAACATTTGTGGATTACAGACAAGCGTTTCCTGTGATTTGAGAAAACGCTTCAGATAACTGGCAACCATGATTTTAAGACACAATATGGCAAAGTGTCGTTACTTTGAAGCGTAGCTTATTTAGTGCCTCTAATTCGACTTATACGTCTTTCCTCTTACACTGTTCCACTCCACTTAAGCACCAATATGATCCTACTCGAACTTCCAGAACGTGCTTTGTTTAGATTTATCATTTACCATTAATCATTGGAAACACTGCCCTGTGTAAACTAAAAAGTATTTGGAACACGGTTCCTCCTGGTTAAGCGGAACATTTTTTAAAGAATTTCGGTTATACCCGACATCTAAGTGGAACGAAATTAAGAGTATGGGGGCTCACCTTCGTCATGGATATAGATATCGCCATTTGGAACGTTGTTCTTGCTTACCAAGCCCATCGCGAAGGCTTCCGAGAAGACGTCTGAAACAGTCGGAAAATTAGCCGCTCAGAGCATAGCCTCCTCTATACTCTCAAAGCCTGGCAGTTCGATGACGGAGCCACAGAGTGCTTGGTCGCAGATTTGGAGCGCGAGGATCTGGTAGCAGAGAGCATCAAAGAGACATTTCCCGGGGAACCTGGACGTTAGCGCAGAGATTTTGCAGCGGCGAGCACCCGAAACACACTTGTTCGCTCGGGACGAGTGTGTTTCGGCGTCTCGCCGCAGCGGGGCGCCAGTCACGTGGCTTTCCTCTCATCCGTTGTCTGCCGCTCCACCTTTTCCATTATGGTGGCCGCTTCTCGTGGCGATCTGCCAGGCGTTGTCAGTATATAGGAGGCCATGCTCAGAGTCAAAACCCGAACCATTCCAGAAATTAGCTTCTGGCCGTTACCATTTCCAATGTTCGTACGTGCGGCACGTGCTTTACTCGCGCCTTACTGGCTTTCCAAAAAGCGACGCACATACGGGTGCTAGTCTGTGGAGATCGAACGCGCATGGGTTGTGGATTTGCGAACATTGCACCAACAGCATGGGAACGGCAGAGCGTGTTTTTCGAACGGCTGGTCTCCGGCACAGGTACATGCCTTCCGCGGTGCTTGACTACGCGCGCTCGAGGTATTTACGCGAAACACCGAAGCATTGTCGAAGGTAGGGAGCTCGCGCTGAAGGCGGGACAACTTAGGCTTCTTTTTCTGCCGTTCTGACCTTTTTAGTGACTTTCTCCAGCCCTCATGGCCTTGCGGTCTAGGAGGTGTCCCGGTGCACGCAGAGTCGGAAAGAACAAGAGCGAGGGTTATATCATATGCAGCGCATTTTAAGACGGGGTGCAAGGATGTGGGAGATTTACCAATCACTCATTTATTAGCATTTTTATGTAACACGAGAACTGCACATTTCTCGCAGTTCGATACTAAACACCCATATGTTCCTGAAAAAAAAAAAAAAAAGAAACGTTCATTGGATGGCCAACCCCTCAAAAAACGTGCTTTTCGCGTAAAACTTTTCAAAATGTAGAGCTGGAGAAAATCAGCCTTCTTCCGATTTTATTCAACTAAGCTACCGGTGGAATCGCTTTTAAACGCGTATTAATTTTATTGTCGAGTGCACTATGCAGAAAATTTTGATTTTAAGTGTTTCGAATTTTTATTTTCAACTGTACTTCATATTCATATCACCTGTAATTATCTCCCAGTTTGACAGAATTAAACGAACTGGTTGACTGATTGAGCCTATTTAGCGGTCTCCCGATAAAGTATTCCCGAAGATGACGAAAAATAAGGTCTGAAACCGGGCTGCACGTTCTCGGCCTGCCCGTTGTAGAGCCGAGATATCCATCGGACGCGGAGTGCGAACGTTGCTCGGACAAAACGTAAATAAACGTCTGGGATAGAAAGGATATCAAAAGAGCTACAGCACGTTCCGCCAGTCGGTAAGATGTCAGAAATTCGAAATGGCTCAGAAACAATTTCGCCGTTCGCAGAGTTCGCACCCTGGGGTTAGAGCACGGTCCTTGCGGCCCATGCGCAAAAACTAGCGTTTCGGACGATCACACCGTTGGGGAACGCGCATGTGCAGTTTGCGCTCTCCCTTTCCTAAACGGGTTCCCGCACATGCGCAGGGCTCACAAACGCACTCGTTTATGTATGTAGGTCGTTTTTATTGCTTACGGACGGTAAAATGCCTTACCTCCTCCCCAAGTGACCTCCGGTCGCTCCCTCAGGCCGGGGGGCCTCTCAAGCTCCTCGTTGCCGCCGGAGCGAGGACGCAGCTGCGCTGCGCCGCGAATGACAAAGTCGAAGGGTTACACCGCGTTTGACGCCAAGTTCTAATGTAGCCGACGCTAGAATCCAGTTGGAGCCAATCACGCAGAGCCAATCACGCAGAGCCAAAAGTGCATTGTCACGGCGCTGTCTTTGTGCTTGACCGTCTAAGCCTATCACGCACCGAGAAAATCGCAGGATCGCGGCGGGATTCCCTTAGCAGGTGATATAGCAGAAAGCACCAAGACGCCGTGCGTCGTGACGATGCACTTTTGGGGCCGTCTGATTGGTTCCATTGGATCGTAACGCCGGCTGGGATCGGCCTCAATGCGGAGAGCGAGTCGTCTGCTTCTTTTGCGGTAGTATCGGTGACGTCATAAAGACGCCGAACTCTGATTGGCTCCGATCGAAGGATAGGGGGTAGACCTCAAGGCAAGCTGCCTCGAGGTCTACCCACTATCCTTGATTCAGAACCAATCAGAGCTTCGCGTCTTTCTGACGTCACCACAAGCCCCTGCTAAAGAAGTAGATGGACTTGCGCTCCGCATAGCGAGGTTCTTCTCTCGTACCATTCATCACATGTCTCACTAACCATCTTAAGTATATCTGTATCGCATTCTCTTTCTCGTCTCTTGACAATCTTTCAGTCCCTTCCCCTATAGTCCTTTGCAAAGTCGCCTCCTGCGCGCTGCCATCTTTGTCTGCCTTCTGAACATGTTCTTTTACTCTGATGTGATGTGTACTGGACCCTGCGCGTGCGTACACAGCTCAGGGACTCAGCATTTTTCACCCGGGTGACAAGCGATGCGAAGGTCTATAGACGCTTTACAGCAGCTGTGCATGGGCGCCGCCATAACTGACCTTCAGTTTTTGTTCCCTCTTATTCCGTTCGCTTCACTTCATCATTACCACAGCAGGACAGGTTATTGCCATTTTAGATGCTACTGTGTTCTTGTGCCCAGCATAGGCCCTTGTGAAGACCCGTCAACGCCCGGTTCAGTGGCTCGACATCTCGGTAAGACAAGAGAAGGGCGGCTATGGCGGCTCAATCTGGCGCGTGTGTAAAGCGTCTATAGTTCACAGTAGCCGGCACTGGGTCGTGTACTTCAGTCACTGATGGCGTACGAAACGTAGGGTGTGGCTAATCGTGTTCAAATTTTCGTCTTCGTGAATCAATCTTTGATGTACTGATTGGCTAATGCCGCAATATGATTGGCTTTGGAGCGATGATAAGATGATCGCGGGACTCACCGCTTACTGCGCTTTCTTAGTTGTCAGCGACTCTGGAGACTCGTAGAAAACGTGAGGTCGGTTTTGCCGGAGTATATCGACACTGTTACGCGCAGCAGATGAGAAATTTAGCTGGAGCAGTATACGGCGGCTAGCTGTGCGCATCGCGCGGGAACGATACACGACAGCAGGCCGGTATGATGCTAATCTCTTTTTTACAGCGGAGCTATTCAGGGCTAGTTTCCCCAGGATCGTGTCCCCCGCAAAGAAATGAAGACACCGAACTCTGGACACCTACCGCCATCTATGAGCGACGGCGGAAAGCCACGTATCTGGTTGCCGCCGTCGCCCATAGATGGCGGTAGCCTTTCCACTCTGGCTAGCCGACTTGCGGCCGGCCATTACTTTCCACTGTAAAGCTCCGCGGTCTTCCTTCCTCACCAGAGCGGAAAGGCTGAAAGTTTTCTACATTTGAATCATCCCTGCATCTCTCTGGTAGACGCAGCCGGTTGCATCCGGTTGCGTTAATATGGATGCGACCGTAAGCATCGAGTCAAGGTTTGGCTGTTTTGATCGGCAGTAGATGGCTAGAAGAGGGAGAGTATGAAGACAACAACGACAACAACAACAACAACAACAACAACAACAACAACAACAACTACAAACCACCACCACCACCACATTTACTTTGGTAAAACCGTTATCAAGGTTATGTGATACCGCTACCGCAATAAGGTTAGTCTGACCGACATACAATAAGCATGCAAGGAAGGTGTTAACGCAGTTTGTTAACGTACCGAAGCTCAGATCAAGTGAAGCAAAAGTACGCGCTGCAGCACTCGGGTGTACTAGAGTTCAATCCCTATCCTTGCCCGTATCGATACAGATGAGAATCGTACACACTAAAAGATTTTTCACCCTTAAGGGAGTAATTCTAGGTTAACACAGATAAACACCAACAAAATAGGATTCTGGTGGTATTGGTGACATCACAAAGATCATAATTGAAAGAAAACCTGAGACTGGGTCATAAAAAAAACAGACAGCACGATACAGTTCTCGTTAATATTTTTCGTAATGCGTAATATATCTAAGTTCAAGGAACGCATCTCTAGGCAAAACGCATTCGTACAGGCAACATCACGAAATTTTACGATTTTTATCGAGTTGAAATAAAGTAGCCACGGGGGTAAGTCTCTGGAACTTCGTTTTCCCAACCTTAAGCATTTAAAATGTCTTAGTGCGTACACCGGCATGAGGTCGGATTTCACGAGTGTCACGTTAAAGACCCCACATGCTAGCAGTGGTGTTGCACTGGCTAAATTTCCCCTATAGAGTGGAGACACCAGACATACATTTTGGCCGACAAACTTCCTACTGTCTAGACAAACCAACGAGGTAGAGGACCTATAGAGCGACAAACTGGCAGCTAAAAGTGACCCCCCCATTGACCGCCACTATGTTGCATGTTGTAGTGAAGTACCGCGTACAAATAATTGCTTATTGATCTTTAATAACAGTACCACCGAGATGAGTTATGTTTCGTTTGTTTTAAGTTCAAAATGTGCTTTTACGACAAAAACTCGGGCAGCTTCGCAATGCCTCCCCTAGATGCCGGCAGCCGCGGTGCTGTATTCTGGGTTTTTATCGGAGCTAGACACTGATCTCTGGGGCTAACAGTATCGAAAAAAAAAAAGTTTATTATGTTTCTTACAGCGATCAGAATAGAAATCTCGGCTCAGTTTTTTTTAAAAGCCTCAGGATTTGGTACGGTCACGTGGCTAGTGGTCCAAATCGTACAACATGGCGGTATACAAGTGGGGGTCACTTTTGCCTGGTGGACGGGATACCAGTTCATCGCTCTAAGCCCCTCCACCTCGTCGAGACAAACACACAACGCAATTCGGTCGGGGGGTGTTAACGCGCCGCAGCATGGAGCATCTGGAGCCAAAGATCGCCTTGCACAACTCAGCGGTCCCTCAGATTCATTCCACAACACCCTGTCCGTTTCGACGTGGAGGGGGATCGCCCGTCTGGCGTGCGTTCGTGTAGTATCAGTACTGCCATAGCCTCCTATAGGCTGACAAACCTTGGCAGATCGCCACGAGAAGCGGCCGCCGAAATGGAAAAGGTAGAGTGGCAGACATTGGGTGGGAGGAGAGCCACGTGTCTGGCACCCGCTGGGGCGATACACCGAAACACACCTCTCCCGAGTGAACAAGTGTGTTTCAGGTTCTCGCCACTGCAAAAGCTGTGCGCTGACGTCTATAGGTTCCCCGAGAATTGGCTCTTTGATGCCCTGTGCTACCAGGGGTGCTATGTTGCGCTTTTTGCATTCCCAGGAGACTTGGAAGAAGGAAGTGACGTCAACGACTAGAGCAAACGCAGATTGGATGTTGACAGAAGAAAACAAAATCAACATCCAATCTGCATTTGCTGCGTTGTTGACGTCACTTCCTTCTCCCTAGTCTCCTGGGAGTGCAAAAAGCGCAACATAGCCCCCAGATCCTTGCTCTCCAAATCTGCGTCAGGGCATTCTATGACTCCGTCGTCGAACTGCCAGGCTTTGTGAGGATAGAGGAGGCTATGGTACGGCCCGTTGCACGTGAAAGACCCCAGGCTAGTAGAGGCACTGCTTATTCACCATTTTTCATCTACAACGGAGACACCCGTTTAAGCCGAGTATAGTGACTGCCAGCTTCAGAGACGTAAGGCGTGACGAGTTCCCTGCATCTCATTATTGAGCAGCAGCCCATGAGGTTGCGGCATTGGTCAATTATAACGCAAAACAACCAATCACGAAACAAGAAGCGTTAATATGATAAGCCACACTCGGCGTTTCTGAAGCTATACGGACCGCAAGTGTCGTCTGCTTCCATGCACAGGGGTTGCGATGATGTCAAAACGCTGAGCTCTTATTGGCTGACTGGAAAAAAATTAATAGGCGGTAGACCTCAAGGCATCTATCTAGCCTTGAGCTGTACCGCGATACATTCGTATCGCGATACCCCCAACCCTGAAAAGGCAGCTTGTTTTGCGTCTGCACACACTAAGCATTCCAAGCTCGGTGTTGTGACGCCCCCCGAAAGATCTCCTCTGTCCTTCTCTCCCTCATTTTCAATTCACATAACTTCTTGCTGTTTAAACAAACACGCGAAACAATTGTGTTTACTCACGTGCCTGGCGACTGACCCCATTCCAGCCCATCCCGTCGCGCGTTTCGAGACTCTGTAGATGTTGCGCGCAGTGCAGCGATTATGGGAACTGTGCCCCGTTTAAAGGTGATAGCAATTGGACAAGAGCGATGGCTGCGCTGCATACGTCAAAGCATTTCAAGAACGCTGACCCCGCGCCAATGTATAGCTTTCGTAGCCAAGGGCTTGTGTGCCGAGTTCTGTGTCGATCGTGTGGATTTTGATAAGGAAGGCATGGAAACCTGACGATAGTAGAGAGTGCATCGGAGTTCACCTTGACTCCTCGTTTCGTTAACGGAGCACGTGTTTTATTGGCCGCGTCACGCTCAACGGTTGCGCGTGTCGTCGCGCTCGTCTGTTACGCTCGACCAATTGGGATCGACCGATACGAGTCGTGTTTGAAGTTCAATGAACCGAACTGAACAGCCCTGACGTCATGGAGTTAGATGAAGTCAGGGTGTGGCGTGCGCGTGACGTCACATTATCATGTGACCTCATTGCGTGACGTGACGACACGCGCGCGTATCACGTGCCCAGTTCATTCGGCACACATTCTACGCGCGTCTCCGAGTTTATGATATATGAGCGGAATGCGCGCTTAAGGTTTTTAACTATAGATTAACTGAAATCGCTGCGACGGGTTTACGTTAGAAAATTCACCATGTCTTGATCGTATCTGATAAAACTTTCTTAGATCCCCGGAATGTGTCGCGAATAACTGGGTGTATGCCGTGTGTGTGTTTGACGTCACATGATGTAAAGATGTCACATTACTTTATGGCGTCACGATATTACGTGACGTCACCTACGTGCTGCATACGCCCAACTTATTCTGAACACGCTATGTGCGTCTCCGAGTTTACCAAATATGATAAAAAACGCGTTTTTTTTTCTTCTTAACTTCTTTACAGCTATTTTAGTCTACCTCATTATCTAATCCCCGAGACACGGAGATTATGATGTTGGCTAACCAGCTCGCCTGCTCCTTGCAATCAACGTACTTGTTTTTTATTTGGTGTGTTTTTAAGGGACGGCCATGGGGGGTGAGGCGGCGCTGTTTATTTTGATTACTGCAGCGTGTGGCTCAACAAAAAACAAGAAAAGTAAACTCACTTGCTGGCTTCTCAACGCCGATGTTCAAACATTCCGGTACGTGAATAGCAGATAATGTTCAAAACAAGTGCACCTTATTTCATTTCTTACGGGCTATCGGCAGATTGCATAACGTCAGGTAACGGATTCACGGTCAGACAGCGATAACAGTGACACTTAACGGGTAAAGTGTTTTTTATCTTCAGTTTATTCTGATAATATAGACTCATAGAGTGTTAGCGCAGAAAAAGAAATATAGATAATTTAATTGCTTGAAAAGGGTATATATTGTGAGCGTACAGTAGAGACCGTAATTTACTTCAGGCACGTGCTCTAAAAAGTTACCGCCTTACGGTTGAATTTGTGCGGGGCGCGGAATCGTAAAATCTTAGCCTTTCCTTTGGTGTTCCCAATCGTATCATACATTTTCTGGAGTCTGTACATTTCGGGGCAGTTCTTTATGTACGGATACTCGTATACCACGATTTGCAAGGCAGCGGAGGGACTCCAATTAGCGCCCCATACCAGGACCGACAGTTCGTTCTCTTTCACGTTTTCTTTTTTTATCTACGATAAAAGCAGTAATTGTTGTTCGAGCCACAACGCCATTGGCTCTCGCTCTGCTCACGTGATCGCTCATACCCGCCTCCCAATGGGTAACGAGGCGCCCCCTCGCGGACGGTCCCTGCTGCGGCCGTGATACTTTTTATAGTACTCTCGTCGTTCGTTTCGTTACACTCGTGCGTCTCACTTTTGCGTTTCACCTTTTGCGTCTAACGTGTTTAGCCACTCTAGTTATCTTCGCCAAATGACAGAAGATAACCGCGGAGGTGCCTTGTCTGTCCCTTTTTCTTCGACCGCCAAAAATGGTTTCCTTCTCTTATCCTAGCAGTATCGGGATAAAGTCATCGTGGTAAACTTCCAGCAGCTCGCCTGCGCACTGGCTTTACTTTTGTTTTCTGAGGACACGCGGTGTACGGAGCATGGTTGATTCATACCTATGTACTGTTCGAACTTGTCTGCAAACAACCTCTGTATGACCAATGTGACGTAACACAAGGAAGAAACACGCCTCAGACAGTGTCTGCTGACTGTCTTAGGGTGTTGCTCTAACACCCTTAGGGTATTGATGGAACTCCCTTAGGGGTATTGCTGTAACTCCCTTAGGGCTCTGCTGTAACTCCCTTAGGGTGTTGCTGTAGCTCCTTTAGGGTGCTGCTGTAAGTCGCTTAGGGTGCTGCTGTAACTCCCTTAGGGTATTAGCACAGAGACAAGCTGATTTACAGCCTCAAAGGTATAAACTTGCCTTAGTGTTTAGGGTTCACCAATTCGTCTGTGACATTCAATCGAATATGTAATCGGTTAAAATTTGTCTCATCTGGTGGCTGCACCAACTATCTTAAGGTCTTGCCAAAACTATACCCATAACGTCGAACGTTTGGGAAGGGGGGGGGGGGGGGAGGGAGGGGGAGGCAATTGTCTGAGATTTTCACATGGCTTTATAGTGGTGCCAGAACAGTGCGTATCTTTAACGAAGCCCGTCATTCCCTTTATTGATTTGTTTTGGTGTATATTCGTGGGTCCTCGGCTGATTTGCAAAGATAGACGAGAGGATAAACTTTTCTTTTTCTTTGTTTTTAATTGGTTACTTGCTATCGTCACTGGAAGCTTCAGATGCGTGAGGCGTAGTGTGACTCGTGAGCATTCAATCGCGTTGCAACCGGTATGCTCGCAATGTTGGCCGAGAAGAGTGCCGTACAACCGAACATGGAGAAAGAAGCGTGAACATTATACGTCTGCCTTTAAGCAATTTAAGAGTATGAGTTGTACGTTATCTACCTAGCTTTATTTTACTAAAAAAAAGAACAAAATAAAATTAAAGCAACGTAAGTATAATTCCCTATACCATTGGCGGTACAGACACATCAGAAATCAAACTGCATGCCGGAATTCTCCGCCAGGACGCTAAGGATCAGATAACGTACCAGGTTTAGTAGATGATTATTTACGGCGTTTGCATGTAGGATTTAGTAGAAATATTTATGGCGTATTTCTGTTTTTTTTGTTTCATAATTAAGCGTGTCTTTACCTTGGCTGAATTCTAGACGTCGAGTTTATCAGCGCGAAGCGTCCGTGAAATTCAGTTAAAAATGTCGGTTTTTTACTGATTAACCGGTGAAGGAACTAGTAGGTGATCTGTCTTTTATTTTATTAATTGAAAGATTCGATCTTCGATTAATTTCGCAGCCCTTGCTTGGTGAATAAAATTAAGGTAAGTCTATGTTTCTTGGTTTCAGAATTGCATTTTCACGGATTTTGTGTAGATATATATTCCCAAATAAAAAGGAAAAGAAAACAAATGCTGATCCCCCGAAGCAGTTTCCTAAGTAATATAATACAATGTCGTTCATCGTGAACAAGTTTCTACTCGCGTTTAAATCTCAAAAGCTGTCAAATAAGCAAGCGTCGCCATTGCTGGGTACTGACGGTCATCATCTACTTGCTGGTTTCTTTAGACCACAACCTTTGCGGTGTGAAACTAACACGGCCAACCGAATATTCGCGGCGCATAAACTATTGACATGGCTGCGAACGATGTTACATGCAATCTATGTATCGAGAAAACAAAGAAACAAACAAACTAAAAAAACGAAGTCAAGAAATTTGTAGTAAATGTATCGGTTATAATGCAACCCTATATTTTCACATCGGTTAACCTCTTCGTCTTCATAACAAACAATCTTTTCTCTCCTAAAGACGTTTTCCACAAGGGTCCCGCCATCTTGAATTTTGCCACTTCCAGTATGGGAGAAAACAGTTTTGCCGTCGTCCCGCCACTAGAACACATTTAAGATATAAGCGTAACCGTCACCTATTCTCGTTTTGCCTTCTTTTATTTTTGTTTACTATTGGCAGGTTGAAATGTTTTATTATTTTTTCGTCAGTCGTCCATACCGGATATACCTACCAGTTGGCTGCGGACGAGAGTAAGCGAAAATGTCTATATATGCTCACACACACACACACACACACACCCACCCACACCCACACCCACACCCACACACACACACACACACACACACACACACACACACACACACACACACACACGCACACACGCACACACGCACACACGCACACACACACACACACACGCACACACGCACACACACACACACACAAGACATTACGTATATTTCTATTGTCGGAGAATGGAAGTTGGTTGACTTCAGAATGACATCACCGTGAGCTTTTCGCAAGTTCCTGTTTGCCAAGTTGAATTGGCCTGAGCTTTCCGAGCCAGATGGGACACTTTTGATAGCGTCTGTGATCAAATCAGGCGCGGCGTTGTACACGCACAACCGGACGATGAGATCATGTCAGCGGAACCTCCGTCCAGGTTAAAGTGCCTGTACAAGATAACTATCCAACGTGTAGCAAAAAACAAAAAAACAAAAAAAAAACATAAAAAAACACATTCCTTGACGCCATGTATTCGATTTAAACCGGGTGGCACGAATTCCAAGTTATTTCACAGTTAACTCCAAGACAAAGACAGTTCACTTCTCTAAATACTCTTTAAGTTATTGAAGATTATGAGTTATACTTTTTGTTTTTTGCCTAGCTTTATTTGAATAAAGTATAACAAAGGGAACTAAAAAGCGAACAGAGGAGTTCTTTATTCATTTTCAATTTCCCATAGTGTGTACCATTAACGGTAGCAACATGAGAAATCCGACTGAATGCCTAGATGTTTCGCGTGGACGCAGAGTCGTATATGTGGAGAGCTTGCCCATTCGTTTGGAAGTATAGGAGATAAATGAGGGGTCGCCATTGGCCGGAAGCGGGCTGGGCGTGTTCTAGGGAGTCTTCAAAAATTCAAATGTGGCCAACCAGAAGCCGGAAATAATACCCTGGCGGTGGTCGCGAGAAACATAATTAATAAGTGCATCGGAGTAACTCTCGGTGACTGAAAATATGATGCACGTGATGTTTCAATCACGGCCATCCAAAAT